TAGATCGGCCCAAAATTGAGTTGGACTATCGGCCCACCGGGACAAGTCCCGGTATCCCGATAGGCCAATCCGCCCCTGTACCTATTCAACTATATAAATGGAAATAATGTGTGTAAGTTAAGTGGAAAAATCTAAAAACTCTACGTTATATGGTTTTTGAGTTAAAGTGGGAAAATGTATTCTTTACGTGGAAGTTTTGTGCTATGTGAAATAATAACCTGCTGCTGGTTTCTCCACAAAAGAAGAATAGCGCTTGTTAGAGCTTTCTTGCAACAAAATATTAAAGTTGGAGTTTAAAAGAAATTCACTACTATAATTTTTGATTCAGAGAACTGGAGAGTGACTATAAATTACAGACAAAGCAGTTTGTTTTCTGATGCCGTGGGGGCGTTATAATGTGACGGTCAATCCTAATATTCGTTGGTAAAAGAGTTGCCCAAGAGTTGGCGGTGGGTGGTGATGACTAGCTGCCTTCCCTCTAGTCTTACACTGCTAAATTAGGGACGGCTAGAGCAGATAGCTCTCGTGTAGCTTTGCGCGAAATTCAAAACAAACCAAACCAAACCAAACGTACCTACCATTATTTTCACTACGGGAATGACCAACAGTGACATTGTAATGTAGTAGCCATGGCAATCATAACTGGTAACCTTTCTAAAACATTATGCTTATAATTTTCGAAAACGTTGTAATATTTCCAGACTTTAGTTGTTGGCCCGGCATGGCCAAGTGGTTAGGGCACTCGACTCGCAATCTGAGGGTCGCAGGTTCGAATCCCCGTCCCACCAAACATGCTCATGTTTTCAGCCGTGGGGGCGTTACAATGTGACGGTCAATCCCACTATTCGTTGGTGAAAGAGTAGCCCAAAAGTTGGCGGTGGGTGGGGATGACTAGCTGCCTTCCCTCTAGTCTTACACTGCTAAATTAGGGACAGCTAGAGTAGCCCAAGAGTTGGCGGTGGGTGGGGATGACTAGCTGCCTTCCCTCTAGTCTTACACTGCTAAATTAGGGACAGCTAGTGCAGATAGCCCTCGTGTAGCTTTGCGCGAAATTCAAAATAAACAAACAAACTTTAGTTGTCTGTAATAGTTCAGTCTTGACCGCTGTAAACCTGTACCTTCAGACAGCAAGATTTCTCCAGAGAACATTAACTTTGCATACTAATCACTATGTTCTTATGGTATTGGTTAACTGAGAGTTAATGGAAGGTAACCTTCACACGTTGCTAACCCAACTTTTCTATGTTAGATGCTCTAAATCTGTTAATCCTCGAGATTGATTTTACAATGTCACTGACCGACAGTTCTAATATGTGATTAGCACAGTATCACACAATTACAGAAGGAAATTTGTCTTTAATCAGTTTCTTAACTCCACTTTTACTCCCCAACATCACGGCTGCACCATCACATGTCACACAAAGTAAATAACTTTTCAGGTAGTCTTCATTCAATCCGTAAGTCTGAATACAATCGAGTAAAGAATCAAAAATTCCTTCTGCAGTAACATTTTCAAGTTCGATCAAATCCAAAAATAAATTTACGGGCGAGTTCATTTATCATAGTGGTTATTTTGCAGTATTGTGTTTCATTGGTTAGAGAAGTGCCATTTCTTTGTCACTGGATATTTTTTATCTTTATATTTGAGTCAGCTTTTTCCTGGTCATCACACAATTCATTGTTGAGTAATAAAGCCCAGCTCATTTACTCTTGATAAAATAGACAGTCAAATCAACAGCATTATTTAAGTTCATTTATGTTGATGTGTAATGATTTTGTTCTTCCTCGTATTGCACACTTAGTTGTTTTGTTTTTCACCTCTTAAAATTCATCTCAAACACTGAAATGATTCGATCTTAACTCTTCAAACATCAGTGATTAAGTGACAGCTAGATCTTAGTATTTAGGTAGGTCTTCATTCAACTTTTTTTTTAGAATTTTAATACAGGTTGCTTATATTAGTTAGACTTAGTATGCAAACAAAATGTACCCAGCTGAAAAAAAACGTTTAACTAGCGTAGAGTACTGTTACTTATGCACACAGGACAGTCGATGCGGCTTCGCTGGGGAGAGATTCTTGCAGGTTCAATACCTTTGTCCAACGGTGTCAAGCTAGGCGGAATTCTATCACCTGTGCTTTTTTCGAACTATGCCGATATGTTACTTACTGAGCTACGTAACTGTGGTCAGGGTTGCTACTTTGGCAGAACATTTACAGGAGCGATCGCTTATGCCGATGACATTATCCTTTTAGCTCCGTCGAGAACTGGGTTATTGAATATGTTGGAAATTGCCGAACAAATAGGCAAGGACCTTAACATTAAGTTCAAACCAGCGAAATGTCTTTTTTTGAAATTCAGGTGTCCTACTTCAGTTAGTAATGATAATATAGAACAGCCTATATTGTTCTGTGACATGATTGTTCCATTAAGCGAATCGGCTGTACACCTTGGTCATTACATTGGCTTTAATTACAGAGTAAATTCCATTCAGAAAAGCGTGAATGAATTGTACCAGAGATGTATTCGTTACTATCTAAATTTTCACATTGTTCATATGATGTGCGATACAATCTGTGTAAAACCTACTGTATGTGTTCATATGGATCGAATTTTGGGGATTTTGATCATAAGACAATCGAAAGTTTTCATTGCGCATGGCGGAAATGCATTCGTCGCATTTTCATGGTGCCATATTACACTCACTGTGACTTGTTACCTAGAATTGTGGATAATCATCCTGTAGAATTTCAAATGCACAAGCGTTTTGTGAATTTTATGAACTCCTGCCGTTCGTCTGAAAACGAGCTAGTCAGATTATGCTGTAGAATGGCTGTAAATGGCAGTGGATCTCCTGCTGGGAATTCCATCAGTCAAATTTGTTGTAAGTACAATCTTCACCGGGAATCTTTACCAAGATTTCTTCGATGTAAAACCCCCAGACTGGCACAAGAGCCAGTGCTATTAGAGACTTTATCGCTTCAAGGAGACAACAGAAGGTGACGACAGAGTAGATATAAATATTATTCTTTCCCACCTGTGTACATATTGTTACGTCTCCGTTCG